CGCTGCGCATCGCCCAGCGGCTGCAAAGCTGCGAGATTCAAGGGCGTCTTCTCCTCTCAGTTTTGCATCTAGGATCGAGCCAGGGAAAACCCCATTTCCTCCCTCGCGCTACAGCGCCGTCCCTTGACCTCGCTCTTGAGCCGGAGAGCCGGACCAGTCACCGCAGCGCGTACAGCACGACCAAGCAACTCAGCGGGTCCGATTCCATCCTTTATTGAGCACAGAAGCTGTCCAAGGCGTACACGCAGATTATGTATCCATTATCTGCTTGGATTCCAGTTTCCCCCGTTTTTTGATGTCGCAAACAGTTGTAAAGTAACCATACCTGAGCAGGATTACAGAAGTACAGCGAACAGAATTTTCTCTCAAGTTATACTTGACAGAAGAATTTTAAAAAGTTACAAAGAACAAACAGTTCAAGGATCTCAAGATACTCCGTTACTAGAACAAACAGAGGGTAAAAAAGATGATTAGAAAAATTGCTACCCGGTAAATATTAAAACCATCTCTTGGGTCTGGTGAGCATTCATACACTCCCAGCAGGTCAAACAGCAGCGCCCCAAAGACGCCACCACTACGTTGGCTGAAGGAGAAAAGCACTTCGAAACTTTCAGAAATCAGTCGATTTGAATCAGTCAGCGGCATTTCACCATACGTCAGGAAACGCATTTTAGCAACTTACTTCTCCGTAGCTGATCTTGTTTAGCTCCTTTGCATCGCCTTCGAGATGCACACACAAGATTAGGCCTTCTGCTATCTGGATGTTCCTTTGACAATTTCTGAATAATTCTGAAGTTATTCTTTGTACTCACTACTTCTGTACTCTTCTCAAGGCACAATTAATAAAAGGAGATGCCAAAGCTATATTTAGAGAGCTTAAAACTTACGATTACAGTCTGTCATTCAATCGACATTGATAGCAACAAAGCTTAAAACTTTGCAAGTCTGAAAACTGCAAGACAGATGTTAACCTCGCTGGGAACGCGAGCAGCTCTCCCGCTGAGCTCGCCTGCAGGTCGCTGTGCACGCACGCCTGCTTTCACGGCAGAAACAGAGCTCTGTCAGCTCTTGAGAGGTCTCGCTCCCATCGTAATTGATTTACATTAAACATGTAAAATGCAGTTGAGGCTACAGAAAACATTACCGTAGTTGTTTCATATATATATATATCTGCACACACAATTGTAGTTACACATTTGTGCCAATTCCAGTTCCTTATTCTGCACAGCGCCTTGCCCACATTCGTATGAAGACACGCCGAAAGGTCAATGTCCAAAAGCCATTTTATTCTTTTCACGTTTACGAACGAGATTAACCCGCGGACCTCGAGCGATAGGCTCCAAAAAAAAATACACCGATGCGCAAAGCGGTCTTTGCCAGTCGCGCCGTTACGTGCTCACACCCTGACAAAACCGCGCGCCAACACGAGAAGACCCGACACGCGACCTGCCCGTTTGTACTGCAGTCTCACGCTGAAGGAGAAGCTAATGAGCAGACTCAGTAAAAAAGGCGGTGAATTCATGGCAACTACTTCAGCAACAGCCAGCCATGAAGGCAGTGACGCCACTGCCAGTTCTGCAAGACGTTAAAGCTAGCTCAGAGCAGCACGGAGGCTTAGAGGAGGCGTGAAGAGGCACGCGCGAGTCGCAAACGGCATCTGCGCCAGCCCTGGGAGGAGAGCACGTGCTGCGGCGGCTTAGCAGCTTATTTCTTGTGAGGTCCGGAGGCTTGAACGATGTAGTTCAATCTGATCTTTGAAAAGGTCACACTCATAAAACACGAGCATTTTCAGTCACGTTCTGCAACACCACTGCACGCTGGAGTCTTTGCGTTAGGACCGTCGAAAACAATGAAAGCGTTTGTGCTGAAAAAAACGACGTGAGCTCCGCAAATTAGGTAAAACCCATCCTTGACTGGATGCCTTTCAACCTCCCAATAAAGTGCAAGTCAATTGCTCGTTTTGATTGCATCAGCAAGTTTTGCCTTTATCCAGGATCAAGCTTAAAGAGCAAATGAGTATTTTGTTTAAGAATTCATATATACGTGCATACATATGCATATATATATGGGTACAGGCGTGTGTGTATGCATGTGGGTGTGAAAGTCAAAACCACGCCCAAACCAGGGCGTTACAAGCTCTTTTTACCTGTGTTCTTTCAGACAGTATTGAACCAAGACTGTAACAACTTACTCTTAAATAAAGGTGGGAGATCAGACAGGAAATAAAGATTACACCGCTTCTTTTTCAAATGTCACATTTAATGTTTTCACCACTGTACTTCAAATCTACATTTTACAAAGTGACCAGCAAGTGTGCCACATTAACTGACCAACCTCTGAGATTTTACCTTTCATACCAGTGTCTTCTCGGGCTCTGTTAATTAAAACACGTTTCTCATTCAAGTGAGTTGAAATGCTTCAGTTGGTTTTATTCTCAGGAGCCTCATAAAAAACAAAGATATTGCACCATCTTTGTTCAGTTATTCAACGTTTGTCTCTTTCACAGCAAATAATTACTTCATTGAAGTTAAAACTTCCAAACATAACTTACTAATAGTCTCCAATTTCAGCTCAGATCACTCTTGTTGAAAATACTCTGCTAAATACAGATAACTTACAATAACTTTAACAGTTAATTGTCCATAACAAACACCACGGTTTTTCTCCAGACCAATGCTCAAATTTTAAGACCACCCTTTAGTATTTCTTTGTACAGGTGAAAAACAGTCTTCAATTTTCTAGTCTTGTTTTAAATATAAAAGTTGGAAGGGACATTCAAGTTTCAAGTCTCCACACTGAACTTAAAAAAAAAAAAAAAAAAAAAAATCATGTGGAGGTAAACAAACCAAGTTGTATACTCCAGGAGGTAGAGGCCTTCAATTTGTGTTCATATATACATATGCACAGAATTCAGTGTTCCAACAGAAAAAGAATTAGCCAAAAAGTAATAAAAGTTATTTACTACTGTGACATTTCAAGACTTCCACAGCTTTGCCTAAAGACACGAACACAATTAACATAATTCCCTATGTGCTTTTTTTTTTCCTTTTCTTTTTTTTTTTTTTTCTCTCAACTGTCCAGTGCAGGAAAAAGTTCTCACAAAATTTCACAGACCTAAAATGTGCAAGCTAGTTTCTCTCTATACAGCAATGATGTCAGGGATCTCTGAAATTAGCCCATAAATGGAATTATTTACACACATAGAAGATGCATGCTGGGGGGTTTTATGTAAGAAAGAGCAGAAAAACTTCTAATAAAAATAGATTAAATATATATATATATTTATACTGGGTAAGGAAACAGAAATTTAGTCTCTCCTAGTCACAAACTCATTCTCTCTACTCACAACATTTGATTTTAGAACAGCACACATCACCATCACAGCTCTAGTGAGAAGCTATTTATAGGGTTTGATCATCAGGTGACGCGCCCGCTTGCCGTGGCCGCTGTCATCTGACATGACTTCATGATTGGTCGCAGTCAAGTTTTCTGTATTCCTTAGTTTTAGAAAACCCAAAATCTTCAGGAATGGCTCAATATCAAAATGTATGTCTATCTTTTTGTACAATCTCACTTCAATAAAAAAAAAAAAGGAAAAGAAAAAGAAAAAAACCTCCCCAAATTTGGTTCAATTCTGTTTGTTCTGAGCTGAGCCATCACAGCTGCACTAGAATTCATAAAACACGTGCAACTCTGGGTAAAATATTTTCTTCTAAAAGCACAACCACTTTACAAGATTAAAAGTCTAGTACATTTCTAAATATTATTCATATTGTACAAGTAGTGGTTGTTAATTTAAAACTTCATTAGTAAAATTACAGTACAAGCATGATTAAGCTCCAGAATTGCAAATCCCAGACTCCAGTGGAAAGCTACATTACATCTTCAGTAGTATATTATCTTCCACTTTACTCCCAAACCAGTGGAGATGGCGGCATCTCAGATGGCTGAGCAACCGTGGAACTAGAAGCAGGCGATACAGAAAATCAGTGTTCATTTGCAATAGCTAACAGACAAGACAGCTAATGCTCAACCGGCGAGCAAACATTCCAAGGAAAACAAAAAAACCCCGCCAAAACCAAGCCAAACCCACCCAAACACCCCAGGAGCAACAGGTAACACCACTGACAACAAATAATTCGCTATACTCTATCTGCTTGTCGGCTTAACTGTTCTTCATCTACCAGGCGCTAATTTTAATGTTTTCACAGTGCAGTTCTACAATCAGAAGTCAACTTGTCAATCTTTCGGTTCTAATTTTTAGTCTGACTTCTGTACTTTTACGCAAAAATATTACTTGAAACTTTTGCACATTTTACTTCAATTCCAGAAGTCATAAAAGTATTTTTAAAATGTAACCATACGTGCCCTTAAGGTATTTTTTTGCAGAAGTTATCTGTGGGCCTATTCTACTCTTAAACCATAAAAACGTTTTGGATGTGTGAATTCTGTACTACTAATAAATGCGAATGAGTATCAGATGTGATTACATACAGTTACCTAATAAAGCTCTTAAAAGCAGCAGACTGAGGGTTGATGCAGAGAGGCACTCTGTTTCCTTTCTGCTGTTCCAAAATGAACTGATGAATTATTTCTGCACATAGGAGAAAATAAAAAACACCACAGCATTACCACTTCTTGCTTCAGTAACACGCGATGGAGACTGGAGGAGAATACAGCTGCCTCTACTGAAAATAGATTTTAGTAAGGATAAAAGAACTCCAGCTTGCTTAAATCTAATCTGATGTCGGACCTCACAGCATACATTCACAAAGAACTCTTATATGCACGCTGAAATAAAGGGATATAAAATAAAACCCTAATCACCTCTATAATACTGAACCGATGGTAATCAGTTATAGATTAAACCCCAATTTTAGGGCGCGACTTTTTGAAAAACAAAGAATTCTCAACTTGAACCTGGTGTGCAAATACCAAGAACACCGTGCTATTACTCAGTCCAGTCTGATCCGTGAATTCCGTCACTCCCACCAAGCGCAAAACTGCCACTTGAGATGATCAAAACAAAAAAGTCAATTTTCATAAGGAAAGAGAAACTCTGTGCACAGTTGCCGGACAAAACGTCTTCTCGCACCCAGGTGTGCGCACCCCCCAAAAAACCAGAGCCTGGGAGGTTTGGCAAGGGGCTGCCCCTCCCTAAGCGGCGGCGGGGGCGGGGGCTGCCAGCACGGAGCTCCATACGCCCGGCCGGGACGTTAGCGGCCACGTGCTGGAATCCGCATCGCTGCCGGCAAACGCTAACGGCAGCTTTTCGAACAACAGATTTCAGAGAAGACAGCAGATCCATGTGCAGCTCTGAAAAGTGATGGCCAAAGAGGAGGGAGATGGAAAACCTGAAAGGAGGGGGCAGGGAGGGGGTGTTGGGCTCTTCTCCCAAGCAGTCAGCGATAGGACAAGAGGAAACGGGCTCAAGCTGCGCCAGGGGAGGTTTAGGTTGGAAATTAGGAAAAATTTCTTTACAGAAAGGGTGGTCAAGAATTGGAACAGGCTGCCCAGAGAGGTGGTGGAGTCACCATCCCTGGAAGCGTTCAAAAAACGGGCAGAGGTGGCACTGGGGGACATGGTTCAGTCTGGTCTACCCTTGACTGGCTTAGTGTGGACTTGGCAGTGTAGGTTAATGGTTGGACTGGATGATCTTGAAGGGCTTTTCCAACCTAAACGATTCGATGATTCTATGATTCTATGAAAGAGTAACAGGATAAAAAGAAAACAACGTTACGCGAACTTGTAGGAACTATACATGTGAGTTTCAGAATTACAAGATCAGGACATATCCGAAACAAGTGAAGTTACCGTGGCAAGATCATGAAGTATTTTTGTCCCAAATGACTGAATTGTTGGCTAGAAACTGCTGAGGTAACACATTTCTTCTCCCTCTCTTCCTTCAAGTTATTTGAGCTGCCACCAAAGAGAACCTGAATCCCTACTACTATTTCTCATACTGTGCTGCTCTCCTAAAAGGACAGCTTTCCTGACTGGATCCGATTTCAAGAGAAACAAAGCCTATTTTATGGCTTGTTTGCTATGGTGGCATCAGACCTCACATCTGGAGTGCCACAAAGCAACTGCTGGCATTTAGTAGCCACCAGCAGCAGTAGTCTCCTCTCCCAGGCATGGGGGTTGGTTTTCCTCGTGACTGCATGTCACGACCCAGAGCGCATCCTCTGCACGACTGCCAGAACCATGGCACGGCACCAGCGACGGAGCGTACGGCAGCAGCGGCTCTAACGGCACCTGACGTGGGCGTTTCGGCGCCAGCAGACCCGGACAGATCAGAAGAAACGGAGCGGGAGAACTATGAGACTACTCTGCGCCAGTTACCGATGACGCTGACCCTCTCCGCAGGACAGCTATCAAGATAACGCCTCGCGCCCCGAAAAGGCAGCAGCAGTGATTTTCCTTTCCCCCGGCGCAATCCTTCCACTGAAGAGTGGCGCGGGGAGCACTGGCATCAAAGAATGCTATTAAGGTTTGAGACCAATAGACTTCTGCGTGTCGACTAACACGTGCGATATTATAACATGTCACGACATTTACAAGCAATTCTGTTCTTTTAGTGAAAAGAAATTCCTTCCAGTACCTACTGTGGAAAATTATCTACAAGAAAAAAAACCACCTGGGTTATTATCTGCATCCAGATTGCACACCCCAACTACATACGACTAAAGGACGGGGCGGGAAGATAAATGCGGACGCAAAGGTTAATCACTACTCACCTTTAACCTGCCGAACAGAACTGAGGTTCTTTTCAAAAGTGTCATCAAATTTGGGATTAGTGATGGGTTCAAAATCACTAGTATAAACTCTTCCAGTAGATGTGGAAAAACAACATTTACACATACAAGTGTGGTATCGCAACCGCCCTTCATCAAGATACGGGTGAGCTAAGGCATCCTTAGCAGATATTCTCTTGGACTGAAATATTGCATTTAAAGAAAATAACACACACACACACACACAAAAAAAAAAAAAAAAAAGAAAAGAGTTAGGATATTTTCAGAGTTATTGAAACAGTCTAAAGAATACTTAGGCATCAATTAGGTCTAAACTGTTTTATAAACGCCTATGTTAAGGATCCGGTCAGGTCAGAAAATGCTTCGGATCCGCGGATGCTGCCGCTAGGGGGAAGGTTTTACTTAAAAACGAGCGGCATTGCCGGGACGACATTGACCTTCCCGCACTACAGCTCATGACTGAACATGCTGCTAGTACGATTTTTAGAAATGTATTTTTTCAATAATTACTTTCTCCGGATAACCTTAAAATAATGGACTCCTCCAATAAATCAAAATAAGCCCGAAGAATTTAATGCGAGCAAATACGGCATTTTGTAGGTAAAACATTTTAACGTGTCCTTAAGTACATATTTAAGGTGAACCACAAACTTAAGCATCCCTGGTAAGAGAATAATTCAGGATATGGCATCTGGAGTTCTGAGAAATACTTTACACATCAAGTTTCGGAAAACAAGCGGTGAAGGAAGTGCAGGGAGGAAGGCGGTCAGAGCACTGCTTTAGGTTATGAAGTCTTACTTCCACATTACTAAGACTTTTTTTGTGCTTAGCTCGGGTAAAGCACTCAGTCTCTAGGTGTCCAACCCCATCCTGTCAAAAATGGAGAACACCAGCTGCTTCTAAAGAACTGCAGGCAGAAGTGCCACTGCAAATTCAAGGTGTAATGAAATCCATTGTTACAGGCGAATTAAAAAAATCAAAACAGAACACGAACAAACAGAACAAAAGTTACTTGCTCAAAGTTACAGAGCAAAAGCAGTGGCAAAGCCTGCAGTGCAACCAGAGGGTCCCAGTTCCAGGATGGTTTTTTGATTAAATCAGAATCACCTCTTCTAAAGGATTTTCCTGTTCTTTAAAAAAAACCAAACCCACATTTATTTACATGTGATTTGGGAATAATAGTATTCTGAGTGTTGAGGGAGTTAAAAAGGAAAAAAAAATTAAGTTTGTTTACGTGGAAGTTATGATTTAGCACTTCTATGTTTTTGTTTAGTAAAGCGATCTTAAGGTTTAAAAAAATAAAATCAAAAGGTACTGCCTACTGAATACTTTATCAATTACAAGCTTCCTCCTTTGCAGTTCAGTCAATTTGTCTATTTTTCGTTTGAAACGTTAGGGATTTTCCTGTAAAGATGAAGTAACTAAGATCATCGATTCGGGTACCAGATTTTCTAGTGACAGTTTTGTATAGTGAGCCCAAGGGCTGAAATCCAAAATCCACAGCAGCAAATTTTTATTAGAAAAACAGATGCTCAGTGGAAAAAAGATCCTGTTATGTGACTGTGTGGATGTAGAAGGAATTTTTTGTGTGTTGCAAGACCATGAACACCCACGTGTCTCTAATTAGAACTGCATCAAAGGATCTGATGCCCTGCTACCTACACCTAGCTAGGAAAAGACAGCGTGATTCATGAACGCCCTCATCTTTCTCACTCTATCGTGGCTTTCTTCAAAAGACCACTAGATTTTAAATCAGAACCCCTGTTCCAGAGGGAAGTTAATTGACCAATTAGAAGATGATACTTCTATGTCTTTTGCAGACCCAACAGTACGGAAATGCAATGCAGGAGAAAATCAGTTAAAGCAGTCCTGTACTTAAAATACTCATCTAAGTAGCAGACAACAGAAAGCGTTAAACCAAAAAGTATTAGAAATAATTTTAAATCATACTTACTGGATCAAAGACCAACATTCTGCAAAGGAGATGAACTGCTTCATGCGTAGCTTGACTGGAAAGCGTATACAGGACAGGAAGGGATGGCTGCAGGGGAAACGGGGAGAGAAGCACAGGCAGTTGTCCTGTCAGATCCATCAGCCAGAAAACACTCTTACAGCACGCGTTATTTTACAGTTACCAAGGACAAACTTCTTCTTAAAAAGGACACGCGCTACCTAACGCTTTCCAGCAAGGCAACAATCGCTATTACAAAACTCAGCAATTTGTAATAGAGATCTGATTTTTTTTTTTAATTCCTTAGTTTGGGTGCAAGCCCTGGCCAAACCTATATTTTATTTTTTTATTTTTCTATATAGACACCACTTTAAGCTGTAGCCACTCAGGGGTTCGATTAACCACGTCACTTCCAGTATTTCATTTTTCTGACCTCGATCGCTGCCAAGTAAGGGCTGATTTTGCTTTCCCTTGCCCAGATCCGTATGTGACCGGCAGTGACAGCGAGCACAACTGAAAGGACCTTCGGGCGCACAGCATTTTGCGTGGAGATAAACAGGCCGACCACCACGGCCGGGAGGAGGGAGGGGGCTCACTGAACTCCCCCGTTCCGTCGCGCGGCGCTACGTTCTAAAACCCCGGAGCAAGCCAGCGGCTGGCGGCAGCAGCGCGATTCTCGCTCTGGTCAGCCC